AATAGGGTAGAGACAGTATCCAGCAATGACCAAAAAAACTTGGCTGTCATTTCAATTTTCAACATTTATTTTAAAGCAACAAAATAGTTAAAACAAAGAGGTCATTATATAATTGAAGGCACCTCAACAAAAAATAACCAATTTAAATATAGATCACCCAACTTAGTGACAGTTCAAAAGCAAAACTACTGGATCTAAGCAAATGATTAATAGCAACTCCAAACACCAGAGATTCAACACCTCCATTGACACACAAACAGATCCTCCAAACAGGAAAATAATAAAAAAAATGACTTAAAAAAACTGACAACGGTCTGACTACAACTAACAGACATCTACCCAATAATCCACTGAAATACATTCTCTCATCACTCACGCGACATTCTCTAAATTACCTATATCCTAGACAGTAAAAATAAATCTCAAAAATTAAAAATAATAAATCATACATTACCTCCTCAGATATGGAATAAAGTAAAATCACCTAAAACTCATTTCTACACAAAAACGAAAAACAACCTCCACTAACATATTACTTCAAATAAGAATCAAGATTGAAATAAAAATTTCTATATCGCCTACACTGGCGTGGTTCAAAAGTTCAACCTCTGATAAGCAAAATTCTTAAAGCGATACAATAACACCATTTATCCACCAATCCCCATTCTGCATCTACCCAAAAGACCGAACTCTATCAAAAAGACACCTCACCCGAATATATACGCAAAATCATAATTGCAAGCTGGAACAACCAAGCCCATATCAAAGATTAATAAAATTGTTGTATATGATCCTGAGACTAATTCAGCTCAAGAAACAATTGATAAACATCTATATTCCTGTTAGCTGAACCATACATAATGGATTCCAAGAATGAAAAACAAGCACCACATATATTGTCCGCCACAATAGTATTAACGAACAGCACTAATGGCCATAGGTATTGCAGTAAATAGGTATTTGCAGGAGAGCGGTATATACATATATAGATAATGTGCACCATCTGGGAGATGGTCATGCTGGAGACTCAGACTTGTGGGGGGAGGGGGGAAATGGGCATTTATTGAAACCTTAAAATCTGTATCCCCATAATATGCCGAAATAAAAAAAAAAGACAAAAAAAAAAAAGAAATGTAAAGAGAAACAAAAAAATAAAAAAATAAATAAATAAAATAGTAGACATAAAAAAAAATATATGAACTAGAAATGGACCTAAATACATTGTTTTCATTATAAGACCAAAATAAAACACAAACACAAAAATATTCTGTAAATAGAATCTAAACCAAACTAACATTTCTCTGTTGCAAGACTTTGGCTTGTAGATTTGACTCAGGGAAGGATCTGGGCACCCATGATCGCAGTTCACCTTTCTCCCTCAGGGAACAAGCTCCGGAATGCAGTGATGGAGGGATTTGCTTTTGCAAGTTGCCACATGACGTGTAGTTTTTAAAGGTGGCTCAACTCAGAGCATCGTCTGGTGCCAGCTTTGCACCCTTCCCAGGCAGCTCCAAGCATTTCAGATAGTCTCTAAGGATTTTTTTTTTAAGTTTTGCAGGCTCTTGAAACGTTTTCTACATGATTAAAAACAAATTCTGAGTCCAGTGTCCACAGCTGTTTGTTTTAAAGATGAGGTAACCATAGGAAAATGCAATAAACAAACCTGAAGAAGTCTTTGCTATATTGTGAACATAGGACTCTGGGCATCTCATGGGTTTTAGACTGATTTTCAGCCTTTCACATTCTGGTCCGCAAAGAACTCACCTAGATGACCCTAGACTGACTTAAATTTGTTCATGTGTATGTATTTTTTTAATTAAAATTTTAACAACCCAGCACTATCAAGAAGTTATTTCTGATGCCAATTCCAAGTGTTCCTGCTCTCTTTTTCCTTTCTTGGCCCATTTCCTGCAAGAACAGAAGCTGCTCACTGTCACCTGCATAAGGGCCTTTCATGCTTGTAAAACACTAGCATGCTCCCTGTGCACCTTCTCTCTCGGGAATGTCACTGTTTTCTGCAAACCACACGGAGACATGTTTGAAGGCAGTGAGAGGGAGGCCTTTGGAGCTTCTCAAATTACAAGCATCACAGGAGTTGCCTCTCTTGCTCACCTTATTATTTATTGATTGACTGATTAGCTCGCATCCTCTGGATGAAGAGATGGCAACTAGTTTCTAATGACTATCTTAATATCACATAATTCCATAAATCTGTTTGTGCACCATATCCAAAGAGTTAATGTTGAGAAATTTAAAGATGTTTACAAATGATTTGTTTCACAGCTGATCTGATTTCTTATTCTAGTCAAATATATATCTAAAAAATATTCACTAACATTTGGGTACTGACGCGTGCCTGTTGCCAGGCACAGATTGAACAACTCTCTGACGTAGGCAGTCATAACAGACCCCTTTTATAGATGAGAAAACTGAGGCCCAGAGACTTTAAGTAACTTGCCAACATTGACATCTTTAAGAAGTGGCAGAGCCTCCTGCCTAACACCCCCGACAAGACCCAAAGCATAGGAGAGCCATTTGGTCTTGGCCTTACATGTAAGACCTTAAATTTAGATATTTCACATTCTCTCCACAGGGGGTTATGAAGATAGTCACAGAGATACACCAGAGAACTGAAAAAAATCTGTCATACAATTTGGATCTCACTGTCCCCCGTATACTATGGAGGTATATATATATATAATCTCTGTCTTGTGAAGCACACAATTAAGTCAAATTTCATTTTTATATACATTAAAGTCTTTAGTTAGATAAACATAAATATTTAAAACATGCCATGAGTTCTGTAACCCTGTTTCGGTACTTCTTCATTTTGTAACATACAGGGAGTCTCAACCATGAAACTGGCCTGGCCCTGCTTTGACGTCACACAGAACCCGGTGGTCCTGGTGCATGTGGCATTGCATTTGCACCCAATCCCAGTGCTCAGAACCACAGGATGGGAGGGCATCCTAGAGACTATCTGCCCAACTTCTTCCTTTCATAGATGATGAAACAGAGGTACAGAGTTGTTGAGCAGCCTCTCCCGGTCACACAGCGAAATGCCCTTCCACTGACAGACAGACCCTCGTGCTCTGTCCTGCACCCCCTGCTGCCCATACTCGCTCACGCCTCCCAAGGGGAGCCAGGAGAGAAGTGGCACATGTGGGCACACATAACAGGAACATCCTAGTATAATACATTTATTATATAAATGCTTTCCAATATAATCTATCAATTTTGATTTTGTAGGGGCGGGGTAAAGATTCCATCTCTATAGAAGTTTTTACATTTCAAAACCCCTTTGGAGCTGAGAATCAATATTGAGCCTCAGATCACCCTGGGAGGGAGGGTGAGCAGGCATTGCTAATTCTGTTTTTCAAAGGGGGAAACAAAAGCTAAGAAATGCTATACACCTTTTTCAAGGTAACATAGGCAGGTGGTGGCAGAACTGTTACTATAGTTTAGGACTCCCGGCGTGGCGTGTGACACTGAGCCACACTGCTTTCCTATATTATGCCTTACGGGAGCCACGGATGAGAACAGCACGGGCATTTTTGTTCTCATGCTGCTATTCATAAACCTTTCTCAAACCTGGTGTATTTTCTCTGAAGAAACCACTCTTCATGTGATCAATAACTTGGAGGAAAAGATAATTAGATCTTCTAAACAATATTCATAAAATAAACACTATTTCAGGACGGATAATAAGCATTTCCAGTGTTCCTAAGGTTATTTCCTGTTAGTGGTGAAGTGTAAGATATATTTAAATGAAGCTTAGTCTGGGAAACCAGCATATTGCAGTAAAAAAATGCAGTTTTTCTAGTTTTGTAGTTCTTTGTCTAAGGCTCTTTTACAAAAGAGGTGATTTTAATTCCATAAATAAAAGACGGGTACTTCCGGCTTTCCTGCTGGCCCTAGCCACCACTTGCAGCTCACACACAGACACAGAAAATATACAGACAAACAGCATTTGAGCCTGCCTTGTTGCAGAGTGTTTTCATCTTTCAAGAGACCGAGGGGGAAAAAAACCTTAGAACTTTACCACCAAAAATTCCAAATTCATTGCAACACAACATAATTGCAAAATATTATTTTCTTAGCACACACATTTTTGAACAACCACCATGGCCAAGAATGCTTGTTTTTATTTTTACAATAAATCCAAAGAAAATCTTGAATTCCACTCGCAATTGGGGGCTGGCAAAGACACTGTGGTTGTTTGGAGCAAACTATCGTGTCTAATTATTCAACCTTATCCTCCCTCTTTAACCTGTGCTTGAGGTATTTATTTCATGTTTATACTGGTTTGATGCAAATCATACTTAAAAGAGATTTCTTGTCCTGTCTTCCTGTGCAAAGCTGAACTACAATGGTAGACTTAACAATGCCAGCCCTGCTCGAGCTTATCAGGAACAGAAGCATTCAGCCTGAGAAAACACTTCCAGGGTAAACAAGACACAGAATTGCACATTGAGCCACATTCCACTGAAATCTGTCTGAATAGAGAGATGTAGAGATCTGAGTTAAATAATCTCTCTTTTAATTTAGAATCAGTGTGCCCATTTCTCATACTGCAATCCATACATTGTTAAAAGCAATTTGTTGTATTGCTATTGTATTCCATATAGGAAGCAAGGTTTTTAAAAAGGCAACATAAAAAAGAGACTTAAATTACTTTAAAATTCTACACAAATGTCATACTTTTCAACTTATTTTTAACCATAAATTACTTGGTTTAAAGAAACAGTGAAAATGTTGTTTTAGTATTAATATCAGTGCAGTTTATTTATAATTGATAAATATATATATTACTAGTTGTTTACAAGGATGCCAGCTATTACCCACTCCCATTTCAACTCTCTTGAAACTGAAATTTGTACAGACTGAGAACTTGGTCGGGGGATGTAGTATAGTTTCTTAGTGGCAAATACATTTCTATGTTTTTATAGTAATGAATGGAAAGCAACTATATACACAGCTTAGTAATTTATCAGACATACCTTGTTTGAAGAAAGCAAATTTTTTTTTCAAAAATTGTCCAGCACACAGAATAGATATCCTTGTTTCCTTAAGCTTTTCTGCATCACAAATCCCATCCAAATTATTCTAAAGAAGAAACCAGAAGAGCTCCAAGCACTTTTTCTCTTCTTCTCAGAGGAGCTAATCCAACAGTCCCATCAACCTCTCAGCAATTTGAAAAGCACATTTTACACCACACACACACACACTCACACACACTGCTTCTCACACTGGTTTTAGTGCTGAATTAGGCGGTCCTTTTTTTCAAGTTTCCACTCCCACTTGCTTTTTTTTGGGTAAGGATTTCTAAATATTCTTTTGTAGCCTAAAGTACACATTTTTAGTAAGCAAATTCTACAATTAGACATTCTAGAAAGTAGAAGGGCACTTAGAAAAAATGGAAAATAAAAAATATGCTTTCAAGCAGGAGTAATTACATTTTTTTCTTTCTTTTTCAAAAGGTAGTGAATAGCTGGATTAAACTGCACAAAGAAAGAAAACTGTGCAAACACCATCAAGCTTATTCTACTAGACTCTCACTGTAGATTGAAAATGCTTACTTTTCCTATGTTTTCCTGCTATTTCTTTGTTTTGTTTTGCTTCAGTCCTGTCTGCGTTTTTGTAAGCTTTACATAATGACTCAAGTATATGCTGCTAGTAACAGGACACAAGATAATAATAGTGGGAAGAAAAAATCTGACTCATGTTTCAAAAACCGACTGATGGATATCTCACATCATCAGGGAAATCTGCTGGCTTTAGTTATTTACGCATTAGTGTCACCAATTAAATCTAAGAGCTCCAGATCCAAAATGTGCATTAACATATCATAGCATTTTAAAAGTCAGACCTGAAAAAAAAAGGACATCTGGCAGTTCTTGAGATGCCAGTGTCTCCCAGTGTGGCAGAGCATCTCTTTTCCAGCAGGGCAGAGGGTAACAAAGAGCCATTCCTCCTCCTGCTGGGGAGTGTGCACTCACGCAGCTTGGGAAGAGAAGCTTCTTCCATTCCAGCAGCCTCTTGTCCTCATCTACGGGCCCTGAGATTGCTCCTTAAGTATAATTGCATTATGGTTTGAATGTTATTTAACCTTTCATGCTCTTTTTGCTTCTGCACTGAAATTATTTCTTAATCCTGTTTCTTCCTCTACCAAAAACCGAGCCCAGGTTCGTCGGTGGTAAGGATGGTGCTGCCAGGGGTGGCTGTCCCACCCTTTGAGTTAGGGCCGGTTCAGATGAAATGGCAGCGCAAGCATAATTATTAAGATTAATGGCCAGGTGCGGTGGCTCACACCTGTAATCCTAGCACTCCAGGAGTCCGAGGCGGGAGGATCGCTCAAGATCAGGAGTTCGAAACCAGCCTGAGCAAGAGTGAGACCCCCGTCTCTACTGAAATAGAAAGAAATTAATTGGCCAACTAAATATATATAGAAAAATTAGCCGGGCATGGTGGCACATGCCTGTAGTCCCAGCTACTCGGGAGGCTGAGGCAGGTGGATGGCTTGAGCCCAGGAGTTTGAGGTTTCTGTGAGCTAGGCTGATGCCACGGCACTCTAGCCCGGGCAACAGAGTGAGACTCTGTCTCTAAATAACAATAAGTAAATAATAAATAAATAAATTGGAGCTTCTTTTCTTTTAGTAGTTTAATTTGTTTTCTTATGGTGAAGATGGCAAAATTTGAAGAGATGCTCAAAGAAAATAGATAGTGTTTGGGGTGATGGGATATTTGGGAAATAGTAGTGATGATTGTACAATATTATAAATGCAATTAATGTTACTGAATTGTATACTTAAAAATGGTAAAAATGTGTAATCCTAGCTCTCTGGGAGGCCGAGGCAGGCGGATTGCTCGAGGTCAGGAGTTCAAAACCAGCCTGAGCAAGAGCGAGACCCCGTCTCTACTATAAATAGAAAGAAATTAATTGGCCAACTAATATATATACAAAAAAAAAATTAGCCGGGCATGGTGGCGAATGCCTGTAGTCCCAGCTACTTGGGAGGCTGAGGCAGGAGGATTGCTTGAGCCCAGGAGTTTGAGGTTGTTGTGAGCTAGGCTGACGCCACGGCACTCACTCTAGCCTGGGCAACAAAGCGAGACTCTGTCTCAAAAAAAAAAAAGGTAAAAATGGCAAATTTTGTTATGTATCTTATCACAATTAAGAATAGTTTTAAAAAAGAGAAATTCCCTTTAAAAAAGCAATGAAATATCATTTTATGTTCATCATATTGACAAAAGTTAGAAATCTGGGCAAAGATCACGGCAGACATGGGGTGGCCCCATGAGCTGACGGTGGTGTGGGCGATGTGGCTACTCCAGAAATGGATCCAGCTTGGTTGAGTTGTGTTTGTACCCTCGGACCCGTCCATCCCTTTCTAGGGTATAGTCTTCAGCGAGCTTCCCACACGGGGCCATGAGAAGTCCGTCCCTGGAGAATTCATGGGTTAAATATGGGAGATGCACAGGCAGCAGCTAGACATAAAGGACGAAAGGCTTTGTACTCTCTGTCCCCAAAGTCTTCTCTCAGATATCTGTAAGGCTTACCAGCTCACCTTCTTAACATCTTGGCTCAAATGCCACCTCCTGAGTGAGCCCTTTTCTGGCCACCCTGTCTAAAATGACATTCCCAGCCCTAACTATATTTGAATAAATGTAGATTGTTGTACCGTACTTAAAAAAAAAATAACACATCCCCTGAAAATAAGCCCTAGGGTGTCTTCTTGAGGAAAAAGAAATATAAGACCCTGTCTTATTTTCGGGGAAACATGGTAATAGGGCGTATGATAAGTATTAATGAAATGCATGAGAATACATTAGAATGGTTGTCTATGGGAAAAGCGAATAGGAGTGGAGAATTGAGATAAAATGGAATAAAAAGCATTAAAGCAAAAGTCCTGGAGCCTTGTGCGGATCAGCAAAGACAGTACTGAGAATGGAGTCCACCCTCAAACCCAGAAGTCTGACAGCAACACCACCACCTACGACAAAATCAATCAAGTGGTGGCATCAGGGAAATCTTTTATCTTTTTAAAGTAAAATAAGATCACAACTTCCTGGTGAGAGGCCTTGAGCTTGCTACTTGGCATAAACTGAACTAGATTATTTCAAGTTGAGAACAAAAATTGTGATGTTCAGTTTCTCCTGCTATTACTACTTGAGATTCTGTTTTGCTTATAAATCACCTGTGGTTGCTTGAATGCATCAGTTCTCTCTTAAATAACTGTTTGTGACCACATAAACTTAGTACCCTCGTCTTGTTTTGTACCCAGGACAAAAACTCAAATCTCTTTGAGAACATTCTCTATTACAAGTTTTTATTATTGTCATAAACATTGAACTTGATGGCACTTTAAAATACTGCCTCATTTATTTTTTTCACTACAGAGACAGAATGTGGGGAAATCAATGCATTCTTCATATCACACATCCATTCTTTTATGTGACTTTTAAAAATGCAGGATGGCAATTTAAGTGTCTAAGTAATGAGGTAGCCTTTTGAGACACTCCTGATGCTTTTACTGTGTGCAGGTATAAAACACAAGAGTTATACCTTTCATAACACAAGCTCACTGAAATGTCTTAGGCTACATCGTGTTTGATGCTGCATCAATTTTTCATGGAAATATGATTTGCCTTGAACTCCTCTACAACAGATTTGAGACTTTTCTCCCTGCACTTTGGTAGATGCTTATGTATCCATTGTTATTTCAGTTTCCTGGATGTGGCTGAATATTACTACTAAGTACACATGTTTTGTGTAGTGTCAATGTGAACAGAATATGTGCCAAAATAATTAGCTTTTGTTAAATGTGCATTATCACTATCTGATAGAAACAAAAAGGTTATTATAAGAAAAACATCTCTATCAAAAAAATTGAAGGAGCCAGATGGGAAGCATAGACAACTTAGAGTACAGGGGGTCAAAAGAGATTTTGCTGAGTAATATAAAAAAAAAAAAAAAAAAACCTAGAAGGAAGAGCTTCTTAAGAACATATCAGAGGGAAAAAGGTAGATTAACTATTAGATAGGTGTCATTGATTATGAGGCAAAAGATAAACTCAGTGGAGAGAAGGAAATGATGGACCAGAATTCATCTTGTAAAGGATGTTAGAATTCGTCTAACATCCTTTATTACAAAAAATGATATTAGAAATATTACAAATGATTCCCTGAAGCAAATGAGTTGGAACCACTCTATTAAATATTGGACAACACTCACAATATTGCAGGTCACACTAACAAACAGTGAATGCAGATAAGTCGCTGTGATTGTAACAGCATAAAAGAGATTAAAAGACCTAAAGGATGATACTGGGAACTGGAGGCTACCCTGTATATCCTACATTGCAGAGGGCTGCTGGTCTGGCAAATTAGAAAAATACAAAAGTGCCTTATACAAAACAAGGGCTCAAAATGGTGGACAAGAGATTATAGGCCTTATATCTCCCTATTATGCCAAGTAGGCACATGGAGTCTAAAATAAAAGGTTGGTTCACAGAACACTGGCCAGTTGGGGCTCTGCTGATCTAAGTTGTGCTGTGCTGTGCAGCTCTGCTTCTCACTATAGGTCTGTGGGCTGGCTGGGGAACCTCTGTTCTACATGTGTTTATTTTGGTGTCCATGCTTCTGGGACAGCAGTTACACAGGAGAAGATGTTCTCATGGCAATGACAAAGCTGCAAGAGGGCAACAGAAAATATGTGAGGTTTCTCAAGGTCTAGTCTTAGAACTGGCATGCTATCATTTCTGGCTCATTCTGTTGGCCAAAGTAAGTGACCAAGCCCAAAGTCAAGGCAGGGAACTAGGCTATGGTAAGGGTGTGAATGAAGATGGAATGAAGAATTGAGACCTATAATTCAATCTACTACATCCCTTTACTTTCAATCTTTCTTTGTTCTTATGTGTTAGTTGTAGATCCTATAAATAACATTCAACAGGATTTTTTTAAAAAAATTCTAGTTTGTTAATCTCTGTATTTTATTGAGTAAATTTAATCTATTTATATTTATCATGATTATTAATATAGTTGGTTCCATTTATGTACCTTGTTTTTATTTTTATTTATTATCTTTATTTATTTTTATTTTCTTTTTCTACCTTCTATTAGTTTAATGAAGTTTTCTGTTTTGCCTCCTAGTTCTATATCCCTATTGTTTTTGGAATCTACAGATTGTGTTTCTAATCTACAGATTGTTTTTCTATAGTGGTTTCCCTTTAAATTTTAATC